TAGTATACAGAAAATCCCTATAGAAAACCTTAGCTGAAAAGTAGAAGTAAGACAGATTGCATACATCAGATGGGAAGGGGGAAGGGTGGGCGTATTGAGACAAAGAGGACAGATGTATGGTAGAGGATGGAAGTGGATTTTTAGTGAACTTAGTGTAGTATACACACATGTTGACATCCAATGATGCATGCCTGAATTATATATATATAATATTATTATTATATCATAACATATGTTATATATTATAATATATATCATATCTTACATAATGTTATAATACAATGTTACTTAAAAAGGATAGTATAACAATAATAGAATTTCATTGAACTTTAAACATGGAACTGAGAAAAATTATAGATATGAAGAAACTGGTAACAAAGTTATGTACCTATTTGTTAGAAAAAGTACCTATCTAAAAATATATAAATGCTTATACAATATTGAAAGTTGAGACATCAAAAGTTACTGTGGCTATATCTCACTGTTGGAATCATAGATAATATTAATTTTCTTCTGTGCTTTCCTTTAATTTCATTTTTTAAAAAAGATTTATTTATTTATGCATACAGAACTGGGGTACAGGCCAGGGAGGTGAGAGCATGCACCAGAGATAGAGTAGGGAGCAGAACAGGCAGATTGATGGAGTACACTGCTAAAGGTAGCAGCGGGCAGGTCAGGAGGGGGTCTGCAGCACCATATGGGTCACCTTCAGGGCCAGGGATTGAACTTGCACAGAAGCAGCTGCGGCCAGCTTTGCAGTGCTGCACTCCAACCCATTGCACCACTAGGGAGGGCCCTCCTTTCAATTTTTTTATTATAAAAGTATATTATTCTTTTAATGAGATTTATAAATGTTATCAAATCTATGTGTGCATTTTTAAATGTTATGTACTTTGGAGTCCTAGACAATATTTTCTTTTTTTCTGCTTCTCTGTCTTTTTAAAAATATTTATTTTTGTGTATAGGGCTGGAGTGTACGCCAGAGATGTGGGAGGTGAAAGGATTCACCAAAGATAGAGTAGGGAGCAGAACAGGTGGATTCACTCAAATTGCTAAGGGGAGCAGTGGGCAAGACAGGAGGGGTCTACTGTGCCAATCTCCCTGGCCAGGGATTAAAATCAGGATGTAGTGGTGATAGTGCTGAGACTCAGCCCCTCGGCCACCAGAGAGGCCTTTCTTCTCTTTCCTTAAACATGTATCTTCTCTTCCACTTTTGCTTTGATCACATACTTTCAGGAACAAATTCCTTAAACTTAACTTGTTGACCCCCCCAGAAGGGACAAATATGGTTTGATTCTGACCTGTGGTTGAAGCAAGACAAAAGAAGCCCTTACCTGAATATCAGTCAATTTCTCCAAGAGCCGGCTAGCCAGCTTAGGACCATGCTCCATCGTTGGAATATGTAGAGTCTGTGAATATAAACCAGACATGATGTAATTTGAGAATACTCCCATATCAGTGACAAGAAGGAAGACACTTAACTACACCGTGTAGAAAGACAACCCCACTGAGATGAAGGATGAAACTATGAGAACCTGCTCATATATACTAGCTTCTTATGCTGGTTCTTTATTTGTATTTTTTCACTTTTTTGTATAGAAATAGAAGTAGGTCAGAGATGCAGGAAGTGAGAGGATTCAAGAGACAGAATGGGGAGCAGAACAGTGAATCCATTGCAATACATTGCTGAGGGGAGCAGCTGTGAGACAGGAGAGGTTTGCTGTGCCATATGTGGATTAACTCCCTGGCCAGGGAGCAAACTCAGGCTGTAAGGGTGATAGTAGTGAGATTTGACCCCTAAGCCACCAGGGAGGCCCCTCTCTCTTTTTAGAAATTGTACTATTTTTATTGAGGTGGAGCCAGTATACAGCACTGTATATGATTCAGAGGTATAGGTTCACATCTCTTCAGAAGTATGGCTTTTTCCTATGCAAATCTGAGTAGAAATAAATGAGCCGATGATAGCTCATTTCTTGTCTATAGGATGGCTTTGGGGTACAGCTGGTTTATATGCCAGCCTTTAGTCTGATTTGAGGAAACAATGAAATGTCAGGTATATTTAAAAAAGTGTCTAAAAATTCTACCTCTTCCAGAAGTCTGAGAACCTACAAGAGTAAATGAGTAGCCGCCACGTGAAAACCTCTTGCCAGGGAGTGAGAACCCAAGCTCTTTGGCCAAAAATTAAATCAAGTCACTCCAGGGGCTTACAGAAAGCCAGTTTATGGCTTCGCAGAGGGTTTTTTCTTTTTAACCTGTTTCTGTTCCAAGCCACCCTCCATGGCCACAACCTCTAACATTGTGGAGAACATGGTTAAATTCAGGGCTGAGTGAGATTTTATGTCCCTAATTCATACCAAGTTGTGCCCATTCCTGTCTCACTGGTTTATGAGATTTTGATGGTTTGAATTTGCTAGATAGAGTATGCTCTTACTTTCATTGTTATGTTTCTTAGGATAATTAATGCACCCTTTGGCTCTAACTGCCCCCAAAAACAAGACCTTAAAAAAATGTCAAACTTTGCAAACTTATTTCTAGAAATGAAATAATACTGGATTTAAAATATGACCTAATAACAACTTTAATTCTTTATGAAAGTCAACCAATAATATGCTACATAGTAGTAAAATAGTAAAATATAAAACAGGAAATTTATAATCAGTATAATGTTGATCTAGCACAGAATCATTCTCCCCTTGAAATAATGAATCTGTGGACAGAACTATTTCAGGAGCCATTTCCTAAAAGCAAGTTAAAAAACTTCAAGTAATAAAGCAGTCAACATTTAATCAGCAGAAAAAGACAATTCAACCAGCTGAGGAAAAATAATTACAATATTGAGTTTACAAAGCAATTAAAATGTACTTAATAAGAGTGACTTAGTGAATTCACAACAAACCCACATGCTCTAAGCTACAGAACTAGGTGATGATTTTAATCATAAGTATTAGTTTTGTTAAAAAGGGAAATGCAAAAAAAAAAAACCTGTCAAGAAAAATAGAAGTACAGGTTAGTTTTGGGAAAGAAAAAATATCTTGAATTGTTTTAGGAAAACTTTAATAAATGTACCAACTTTACCAAATGAAAACTTTTTATAAACTGAGCTAAATGAAGATGGTGATGATGAAAATAGGAGTTGATCAAATTCATTTTTCACTCCTCCTCTCATAGTTTGGAAGTATTTTTGGAAATCAGAACCTGGAATCTAACTACCTTCCTTTGTGAGTTGGTAGAAAATAGTAAGTGAGGAAACCAACTGGCACATCTTCAATCCCTACCTTGGCAGAAAGCAGATATGATACTGGCCCAAGGAAAGTACTGACTTCCCACCTTTTTGAGCTCGTATGAAACTGAAAAGATGATCCTAAGTGATTTGGTAACAAAGGTTCATGAAGATAAATTGCACCCCCAATTAATGGAATGACAAGTTAAAACAAACAAACAAACAAAAAAACTGTATGCAACCTGGGGCTAACTAGCATGTCTTTCACACATTCGGAAAATTAAGCTATAGGCAAATGTTGGAGAATGACAGGAAATGAGAAAATGCTGCCTTACCTCACCCTTGTGCAGTATCTCTGACACCGGACAAACCACACAGGCAGTGCCGGAGCCAAACATCTCCCTCACTCGCCCGCCCTCCAGGCCTGCAGTCAGCTCATCCATGGTGAGATACCTCTCTGACACCTTAAATTCACCCTGTGTGGAATATGAAAGTTAAAATCATACCTAAATGAAGAGCGATACAAAACAAAACCTGCAAATTTACCCCCCTCCCCTCATCACCTTGCTTTCCTACTTTATATTCTGCCTGAATTCAGATAATGTCATAATTACCTTGGATGGGAAAATTGCAGGAAGCAACACTATCTCACTGGAGAAAACACTGAGATGGGATGTGGTCAACTGCAGAGTCACAGCATCTCCAAATGAGATGATCAGAAGTAAAACTACCTGGTCCATTTTCATTTATACCTAATTTTGAGCCTTTAATTTATTGTCAGGTGTCAAGTCTCCAAGTTGACACTCTGAGTAATGCCTTCTTCACTCATAGCTTAAACTTATGTTATTACAAGAGAATATATTAATATATAATTGTAGTAATTATAGCTACCACTTATCTAGCGCCCATTGTAAGCCAAGTTCTCTCATTTTTCAGGTGGGTGTTATTTATAGATGAGGAAATTAGGGTTCAGGAGGCTGAGGGACATCACAAGGCCATGCAAAAAGTAGATAGCAGAAAATGGATTCAAACTCAGGTCTGACGAGAACTGCTTCAAATCTGGTCCTTTTTGAATGTTTTGGTGTCTTTTATGGAATAAAAACATAAATGCAGTTTAAGTATTTAAAATATTTTATGATTTTTAAATCATTGAAGGTAAATTTGGATTTTACTTATGAAAGTGAGTCATTCTTTCATAGATGTAGTAATGCACTCAGTGGTTCAGTAATAGGAATAGTGAACTGGGATTCAGTGCTATTACCCGTGAGCCATAAATCCACTGATTCAGTTGACTTTACCTCATGTATCCTCTTCGTTCTCTTTAGGATCACATTAGTTCAGTTTCAACATAGAATTGTTGTTATAAACTCTTAGACTTCAGACTTATTTGAACATTTTATTTTCTCAAGGATGGAAAAAAAATGCTTATTCTTTTAAGCTATTCAGTTTCTTCTGTTTAACATTCATTCTGTCATCTGCTTAATTCTTATTCTTTCATGTTAGTGACTTCAAGTTCAAGATTTGTCAACAGGCTATTTGAATTAAGGATAACAAAGAATGGATATATTCTTAAAATGAGTGTATTTTTTAAAACCTATAAATGCACAAGAGATGAAAATGGAAATCACAGGTGAGATTCAAAACATGAAACTAAGACCTACATTTGGGCAAGAAAGTTTTTTCTGCAGTAGAAATAAGACTATTTGAAAGTTTCAACTTATCATAGTTTGCAATTGCAATGATGTTGTCCAAAGGTAAATTAATTAATTAATTAATTAATTAATACCATCCCACAAAGCCAGCCAGTTAAACTGAAAACAAACTGAGTTCTGTGTTCTGGATAAGGTCGGGGAAGGGGGGTGAGGGGAGGAATAGAGGAGTCTTTTGTAAATAAACAGAATTGTTTTTCCTCTTCTCACCCTTACTTATCTTTGGACAATTTCCCTTGTCTGGCAAGTAATGGTAACCCCCCACATGCCTCTTGGCATTTATGTCTCACTGTTTTAAAATAGCTTTTAAAATAAATTACAGCTAAGGAGTCAAGAAAAAACTTCCTCCATAATAACCTATTTTTCATGCTAGCAAATCATTAGTGTGGGAAGCCATTCCCACTTGCAGCTTGTCATCAAGCCTTCTGTACTTGGTGGATTTTTTTTTCCTTTAATAAAACAAAAATTACCGAGCTTCAAAAATACATCTTTCCAACTGCAAACATATTTAGGACAGGGCAAGCTGTTTGAAATTATACCAACAGTTTGTAAATGTCATGCCCAATGTGCCAGCCAGCATGTGGCAGTTGGGTCTTGTCTACTTCAGGGTTTTGTAGGATTATTTATAGCACATTTCTTCTATTTCCAAAGCCTTTTTACAGAGAAACTGTGCTAGTACCCTCCTAGATAATGCGTGTGTTTCTAAACATTTGACCACAGTCCATTCAAAGCCTTTTCATATTCCCTGGAGACCACTTGAACACATGGGTCAAAAGGTTCCAGCTAAGAAGTTTGGCCAGATAACCAGCTCATTGAGAATTCATCTCGAGTATGTTATCATGTCATTTCCAGTACCAAGGGGTTGAACCCTCTTGTCTGTGTCACGCAGTTCAGAAAGTCTGTGGAAAATAACTCTTCATTTGCCTGAGTGTTTGACTTTAAAATAAGCCTGAGTGTGAACTAAGGAGAACAAAGGGCAGGAAGGAGGGAGAAAGAAAGCGACCAACTACTAATGTGTGTTGATAGTAGTTTATAAGTCAATAAAATATCTTTAACTTCTTTGACAAGCATGGTGATGATGGAATAAAGGAGGAAGGGCAGAACTAGCATCACTGCTATTTGGGAACAACACATTCAGACTTGAAAAGGTAAGAGCTGCCCAGATGGGAGGACCTGAAGCGCAGACCAGGTGAGGTGGTAGGAGGCAGCAGGCATAGAGCTTGAGACTAGCACCAGCACACTACTTCGCTGGGACAACTTGCTAAACTGGTTCCTCTCTACCCTCCCTATAAACAATACTTATTTGATAGTCTTGCCAAGACAGTCCTTCTAAGTGAGTTCTTTTCACTCCGGTTAAGCTTTAAAGATTAGATAACAGTGGTTGTAACGAGAGGATGTTATTTCAACATAAAGTTGGGCTTATTTGGGTTACGTTTTGTTTCATGCTTATAAACAATGTTCATGCCAAAGGCACCCACCCACTTGTGTGCCAAGTCCAGAATGCTCTGCCGTGTCACTCCTGGAAGGATGATGCCATCTAGCGGAGGGGTTGCCAGTTCTTCTTCTGTCAATTAGAAATTGGAATATTTTCAAACTTTTGAGCTGGATTAGCCTTGCCTAATACCAATAGTCATTTTTTATAACAATTTCTGGCAACTTTGCAAGAAACATGAAGATGATATTACTATATTGTGTCATCAAATTTCCCAAATCAGTTCATGTTTGAAGACATTAAGAAGAGAAAGAAACCAGTTAGTTGTCTCTAATTTAGCCAGTAAAAAAGATCATTTTTCTACTGACAATGAAGGTTTTTTGGATTATTCTGAAGAGGACCCTGCTGAAATCAACATTTACGGCACCAGACTAGTGCTGATCAGAAATTAGAGTAATCCAGATAGGATTTTTTTTAGCAATACTAATCATACCAAGCTTTATAAGAATACAGCGGAAGTGCCCAATCCCTATGCAGGCTGGCCATGCTCACCTCCCTTTGCTGAGGCTGTCCATAATGATTTTCAGACCTGAGGAAGCATTCATATCAAATATAAAGATGCTGACTTCACCCTCTGAGATTCAAATCTAATGGTCTCAGGATAGGTGCAAATTGTATGTGGCTAACAGGGTAAACACAAGGCAGAAAAACAAAACCCCACAGGGCCAGCCTGGACTGCCAACATCAAGCCAAGGTCAAGACTCCTAACACCGGGAGGCTGGATGTCTGCAGGGTGAGTGTGGTCTATCTGCAGTCACAGCTCTACTTGAAAAAGATGCCTCTGGCTCTGAGAACCCTCCTTGCCTCTTCACCTCTAGTCCCTGAGGATCTGAATCTTGTGACAAACGGAAATCTTAAATCATCAGTTTGTGAAGAAGTAGGACCTTATACATGTCTTGCCCATCATGTATTTATAGAGAAGCTCGCTTGAAGGGACTACCCAGGAGCCCTCCAAAGCTATAGAGAAATCACACAAATGTCTTTGAGCATTGTTTTGCAGCGAAATAGGACCCACCTGTTTAAAGTTCTTTCAGAATCATCTCATGCAATTTGTACGTTACCAAAGAAGAAACTGAGACCATCCCCTTATCAACAAGTCACTTGATGAGGTTGGTGATACTGGAACAGTCAGGACCACAGCCTGAGGGGCCCGAAACTGGCCACTGCCTTTTCTCCTATGGCCTGGTTCACCCACTCTGCTGTGCTTACATCAACATCCCACAGCCAAACCATGTGAAAGACTGAAACTCCATTCATTTCTATGTCCCTAAAACTCGGCATCATGCCTGGCCTAGAGTGGTTTATAATGTATGTTTTTGAATAAAAAATAAATGAATAATCCTCCTTGCTAGGCTATAGCAGTATGACTTTTTTGAATTTTGTTTCTAAAAATCATCTGCTGGAAACTGCTTTCTGGAAAGAAGAAAATTTGTTCTTGGCAGTGTTCTTGGGGCTACTTTTTGTCATGTTTAGAAGTGTTGATCTCAAAATAAACCTGTGTTTTGCAGTAACTAGCTGGATGTATACTGTGTAGATCTGTATGTGTGTGCATGCACACACACCACACTCAGAGACAAACACACAGCCAGCGCCCTGGACTTTCCTTGTGCTTACTGAGCTCTAAGACCACACCAAATTAAATAAAAACAGTGGCCCTTTTGCAAATGTAGTTTTGTGAAATATATTTAACACCCAAAACTGTAACCACTAGCCCGAGGTCAAGGAACAGAACATCTGCTTCTCTGGTTGCCAGACAGAGATGATGACATGACAACATTTGGGTGAGAAATATTCATTTTCCTCTGCAAACCACAAACATGCTCACAAGAGCCAGAACTAGCTCCAGATTGCCCAACATGAGGAAAACAGAGCCTACAAACGCAGCTTGTTTTTGACAGAAAAATCATTCTTAGGGGATGAGGAATGTAGAAGCAATAACAGCAGGATTCATCTGTGACTTCCCAAAGTCAGGCACTAATGGGAACCAGGAATGTGGGTTTGCATCAATGCCCTATACACTGTCAGCGCCCTTAGTCATTTATTCAACAAATATATCCTGGGTGTCTCCTGGGAGCAGCTGGCTGCTCCAAACACCAGGGATACAGCAGAAAACCAGACAGGCCCCTTGCTCCCTTTCTAGTGAGCTAACAGTCATGTTAAATAGTATGTTAGATTCAGGGGGCCATGGAAAGGGGAGGTGAGGAGAGTGTTGGATGAGGGAGTTGGTGATTCTTATTAAGGTGCTCTTATTGGGAACGAAATATGTTGGCAGAACTTTGAGGGCAGAGGAAGGTCAGGTACCATGGCATCTGAGGGCAGAAGGCTCCAGGCCGAGTTGGTAGAAATGCCTGACATGGGGGGACGAGCATGGGTCCTCAGTGGACTGCAGGAACATCAATGCTCCTGGCCACGATTGTTCTCCCAGAGGAGATGTGAACTGTGGGACTGGGGCTTATTTTCAGGATAGCACCAATGTTCAGTACAAGATAAAACTGTTTTTATAACAGTGACAAGCTAGGGTGTGCATGTTCAAGTACTCATCCCAGAGAGAGAATGAGATCAGCCCTGTGATCTGAGCTCCTCGTTTTCTGTTACCAAAGTCAGTTCCGACAGGACTTCCAGGCCACGTGCTTCAAATGGTCCCCTCACAGGGTACTGTGCTGTGCACACAGATTCTCTCCTTTGTCTACCTAGCTCCTCCAAAAACAGCCATTATGGAGAAATTCCCAGTTAAGAAAAAGAACTCTGCTTATAGCTCTTATAGAAAGTTGTAAGAAACTCAATATTTTATTGATTTTTAAAAATTTATTATTTGGGGCCCTCCCTGGTGGCACAACAGGTTAAAGCACAGCACTGCAAAGCTATCCATAGCTACTTCAGTACGAGTTTGATCCCTGGCCAGGGAGGTGACCCACATGGCACGGCAGACCTCTCCTGTCTCACCTGCTGCTCCTCCCAGCAGTATATTTCAATCCCTCTGCCTGTTCTGCTCCCCATTCTATCTCTGGTGAATCATCTCACTGTGCCTGCACTATGGCCTATACTCCAGTTCTGTATGTATAAATAAATATTTTTTAATTAATTATTTGTATTTTCCTACAACCACATTGTATATAAGTCAAGTCACCCTAGCAGTGCTTCACTGCCTATCATTGCTCAAATGTTATTCCTGATTTCTACTTCATTTCTCTCATGCTTTCCTTTCTCCTTCAAATTTTATTTGATCTGAAGGGACACAGACACATTAAAACTAAGGCATGTCAAGCACCCACAGTCTGAGTAGAAACTCTTAATAATATTTAGAAATTACAAATACTCCAGTAGAAATTTGTTTTTGTCTTTTAAATATTTATTTATTTATTCATTCAGAGCCGGGGTATAGACCAGAGTTGCAGGGGTGGTGAAAGGATTCACTAGAAACAGAGTGGGGAGCAGAACAGGCAGATAGACAAGGGCTGAGAAGGAGAGATCTGCTGTGCCATTTGGTTACCTTGGGGGCGGGGACTGAATTTGCACTGAACTGGTTGTGGCTAGCTTACAGTGTTGTGCTTTAACCTGCTGTGCCACCAGGGAGGGCCAGAAATTTTGTTTTTAATGGTGTATGTTATATGAGTCAGAAGACAAATTCATTCATTTCTATTCTGAACTTTAAAAGCCATGGGGGAAACAGTCCATGATTATTGTTTGAGTAAGGGGTGATTTTTCATGAGGGCAATTTCTGTTTAAATCATGTAACTTTGATTTAGACTGTGTTTAAATCTTGACATTTTCCATCCTTAAATAATGATGTTACCACTTCTATATGATGCAACTGTTTTTGTTGAGGTTGTGTCTTGGGGGGAGGGTGGTTGTGGGGAGAATGGGAAGAAGAACAGGCAAGTGGGAAGAATAAGAGTCAGCTCTGGTTGCCACCTTTCAAGCCTGGCTTTTGATACAAACACACACACACACACACACACACACACACACACGTCTTATGCCATAATTCAAATGTAGAAAACACAAAAACTCCACTATAAATTTTGTTTTTAAACAGTGCCAAGTATACACAGCAGGAGTGGAAGAAAGAGCAATGTGTGTCACCGGCTGTTCATATGCCAAGGGTTACCCAGGGCCAAATTCATGACAGGGCAAACTCCCCACACCTTCTACTTATTCTATCTCTGACTGGACCCTAAGCTGTTGCCTCTTAGTCTCTGCAGCCAATGCTTAGATAGCTCTGTAGCTCTGAAGTCAGCCACATCTGAATCACCATTTTCCTCTATTTGTAGCCAAATAACAAAAGAGCAAAACAAGTTAATGTAACTGTTTTAAAAATAAAAAAAAATCATTTAAAATTTAATTGAAATGATATCAAGACTTTATAAGTATTTAGGCACATGTCATTTTACATTTCTAAGCTTCATATTCAGTGCTGTGAAATAAATAGCATAGGACTGAAAACAAGTCTAAAAATATTTTTAAAGTTTTTATGACTACTAAAACTCTAAGGAAATGAACACACCTATCTGTATTTTTCCCTTTTATTTGTCATTTAATCAAATGTCATAGACTTTGCTAACACCTCATTGAACCCCTTTGTTTTCTGCCAAAAAATTTAAAAAAAAAAAGCAGTGAGATAATGGGCATTCAGGGTATTAAAGTACTAAAGTAGCAAATTATGACATAAACAAACACATTAGTAATATTGAATGAACCAAGAGTTAAGTCCCCAAATGGACCAATTTGTCCTTAAGACAGAATACTTTATTCAAATTGAGGTTCAGAGTAAACCTGAAAGACTTCTGATCAAAAAATGTAGTAATAGGCACCAACTGGTAAAAGAATAGTGTGAGCAGAGCACAGTAAATTTTATTTATCAGTTCAATCATCAGGCCGACCATATTTACCACTTCAGCATTTCATGAATGCAGTAAGATAGTAAATGACCACTGAAATGACCTGAGGCCTAGCCCCAAACACAAAGGATGTTAACATGAAAAACATGTTAAGAATATGATAGAGGAGAAGCTAGCCTATCTTCTATTGTAGGGGCTGAAATTCCTTAAGTTGATATGTGAATCATAAGTATATTAAAGCTGAAACAAAACCAAGCAAACAAAAACATTTTTTAAAAAGTTCAATATCGGCCCCCGCTGGTGGCACAGCGGGTTAAAGCACAGCACTAAGAAGCTTAAGTCACTTCTGCATGAGTTCGATCCCCGCCTGCCCCGGAGATGACCACATGGCGTGGCAGACCTCTCCTGGCCCACCCGCTGCTCCCCTCAGCAGTGTACTTTGACAGTCTGCCTGTTGTGCTCCCCATTCTGTCTCTGGTGGCTCTCCCACCCTCCACATCTCTGGCCTGTACCCCAGTTCTGTATGAATAAATAAATAAATCTTTAAAAAAAAAAAGTTCAATATCTTCAATTCATGTCTATTGGGACAGTAAAATCACAGTGAGTCTTACCCTTCTAAGGTTCAGGTGTTTTTCTTTTTAGTATCTTCTAACTTATTGGAAAATGTCTAACAGCTGAAATATGAGTGAATTACCTCCATCTTCATTTATCCAGTAGAGAAAAAGATTCATAGTTCCAACTTCGGTTATTTGATTGTCCTCTCCATACAGCCACAGCACCTGTTGACACCCATTGTCAAGTGCTTCACATTGGGCAAAAAGAGATGAAGCATAATTCCTTTGAAGAAAGAGGAAATATACTGATCATGAAGCTACTTCAACCTCAAGCACTAAAATCCGCAAATCTTTAATTTACATGCAGTTGTAATCAATGTTCATTCTCTTTCTCACTCACACATTAACTGCATAATATTAAAGGAACTCCATTAGAGAACCTAAGAGATCAAATTGCATTCATTTGAGATAACACAGCAAAATATTATGGAACTCTAAAGTAGTGATGACACATGAACAGAAGCAAATAACCTAGTTAATAACAGTTAAAAGTGATTGAGGTTTTTTCACATACCAAACAATTTATTATTTCATTGTGACCTCACATGAATAATCTGATCTAGTCACTATCATTATAGCCATAGTTCAGAAGAGAAATTGGGGCTTTAGAGAAGTAACTCGTGGCAAGTTACAGCAATTAAGTAGCAGAGCACAAAGCCTGTGCTCTTAATGGAGACCTTAAATACATGCAATAAATATCCAGTACCCAACATGAAAATTTCCCCCAAAAGACAGGATAAAATGGTAAAAATCCTGCTTTAAACCAAAAGTATCTCAAAAGTCCCTTTTTCTCAACCTACACTTTTTTTTTTCAACCTACACTTTTTATCTTGATTATCCAAAATCAGAACATGCATATGTTTTTTGAAAGGCAATACAGCTCAGTAGTAGTTTAGTTTATTACCTTATTGAACTTAAATGTGAAAATTAGGGAGGAAACAAAATAGGATGAAAATTTTAGATAAAGCCCAAGAGTTCTCAAGTAAATAGGATGCTTGCTTGCCTCCCAAGTCCTGGTTATGATTCACACCTTTGACTCTCAGAAGACTTGAGTAAACAAGTGTGAGCAGCACTACCACGGGACAGTCAGGGCTAGCAAATGATCCCTGGACCTGAACTTGGCATGTGAATCCCCCAGGAATATACAGAAATAATCGATCAAGCAGACAATAATACCATCTTCTACAAAATACCTCTCAACTCTTTGAAATGACCTTTTGTTACAAATGGACAAGATTAAATGTGAAGTACTACCTAAGCACACATAAGCACAAGAGCCATATATTAAAGAGGCTGCCTGCCACAAACTGCCATGCATATCTGCACAACTTCCTACTCTGTTCTCTTTGTTCCTTCCTAAGGAGCCAAGTCATTCTGCTTGAGTTGGTAATCATGAACATCTTGCCTTGCACAATTTAAAGGATGAACATATCATCTAAGCTGCTCACAATTCTTCTCTGAGCTCTTTCACTTAATCTCTTTAATTAAAATAGCACTGCATTATGTAAGTTTCATATGTGCGGTCAATACAAGTCAACCTTTCTAGATACAACATCGAAGTCCAATGTTATCCTTGAGCACACAGTTGACCCTTTGACCCAATTCACCTACCACTTTTCTCTTTAACCTTCTGGTAACCATAAATTTCTCTAATAGTTCTAAAAGTGCAACCTTTTGTTTATAGCTGTGTAGTATTCTGGTGTGTGTGTGTGTGTGTGTCCTAATAAATCTCATCTTCTTTATCCAGTCATCTGTTGATGGACATTTAGAGTGTTTCTAGCTCTTAGTTATTGGAAATTGGTTGCACCAATTTACATTCCCACCAATGTGCACAGACAGTCCTCTCCACATCCCCACTAACACTGACTATTTCTTAGCTTGGATAACAACCATTCTGAATGATGTGAAATGATATTTCATTGTTTTTAAATTTGCATTGTCCCAATAGATGATGGACATCTTTTCAGATGTCTTAGGTCTTCATTGGATGAATATCTATTGAGATCCTCTGCTCATTTTTTAATTGGATTGTTTGTGTTTGTGATTGAGGCTTTTGAGTTCTTTATATATTTTGAGTATTAACCGTTTGTCAGACATTAATATCTTTTTTCATTCAGTAAAATATCTTTTTATTTTGATGATAGTTTGACTGTGCAGAAACTTTTTATTTTGGTGTGAGCCCATTTTTTAATTTCTGCTTTAGTTTCCCTTGTCACTGGGAAGGGTGGGAAGGCTAAAGGTGTCAAGGAGAATACAGCCTATGTCCTGCATATCTTATGGTTTCATGTTTCAGTCTTACAGCCAATGTCTTTAAGCCATGCTGAATTAATTTTTGTTTATTGTATTAGATAATCTTCTAATTTCTTTCTTTTGCATGTAGCTGTCCAGTTTTTGTAACCCCCACTTACTGAGGAGACTTTCCTTGCTCCACTAAAGTACTTGATTCCTTTGTCATAAATTAGTCATGTGTATGTGTGGGCTTATTTCTGGGTTCTCAGGTCTGTTTTATTGAACTGTGTCCATTTTTATTATAATATAATGATCCTTTGTGTTGTATTTTGAAGTCAGGGAGCACAATACCTCCACTTCTGATCATTTCTCTTTTCTTTAACTCAGGAGTATTTTTGCTCTTTGGAACCTTCTGCAGTTCCGAATGTTTTCATGATTTTTATTAGATTTCTATAAAGAATGCTATTGAGATGTTGACAGAGATTGTATTGAAACTCTCTACTGCTTTAGGTAATATAACCATTTTAATGATGCCACTCATCCAAGAACACAGAGTATCTTTCCATTTCTTTGTGTTTTCTTCTTCTTCTTTTTTAACAGTGTCTTAGTTTTCAGGTCTTTCACTTCTTTGGTGACGTTCATTACAAGCTACATAATCTTTTCAATGCAGCTGGTAAATGAAATGGTTTTTCTAACTTCTACTTCTGTTAGTTCATTATTTTCATGTTAAAACACAATATTATTTGTCTACTAATTTTGTAGTCTGTCACTTTATTGTATTCTTTTATCATTTCTAAAAATTTCTTAATGGAGTCTTTTCTCTATAGGTATTTTTATGCCATCTGAAAGCAATGATGGTTTAGCTTCTATTCTGATTTGGAAAATTTGCATAACCTTTTCTGATCTAATTGTTCTGATTAGGACTTCCAATACTATCTTGTCTTGTTCTAACCTTAGAAGATAACTTTTCAGTTTTTCACCATTGATTGTGAATCTGTCATATACAAACATTGTGTTGAGGTACATTCCTTCTATGCCCATTTTGTTGAGGGCTTCAATCATAAAATGATCTTTATATTAACCCAGTTATTGCAGGAAAGGAGGGTATTATTATAAATGAGGAAACTGGGGCCTAAACCAATGGTGTAGTATACCCAAAACTGTTGGATTTTTAATCCAGGTCTTTCTGACTTCTAAGTTTTCAATCAAGTACAAAATGAGTACAAGAAAAAAGAAAACAATAGATGGAAATGGAATGGGGAAAAGAGGGAGAGTGAGAGGGTCTGATTCATTTCAAATTAACTACAAAATTCAGAGATAGCCCAGGAATTAACATGCTTGAAAACAAACAAAAAAAACTCATCTTCTAGCTCAGTGCTTCCCAAAGGTAGTTGCATATTTAAAAATAGTCTGATGTGCAAACCAAAGAAACCAAAACCTGTAGTGGTGGGACCCCAACAGTAGTAGTTGTTAAAGCTTCCAGAAGATGCCACTTTGCAGCCACACATGAGAACCACTGTGCTAGAGCGCTTCTCCAGCTGCCTGTCATTGTATAGCTCTCCTCATTTATGTATATTTAGAAATAAAATGATAAGGTTATTATCTCTGGAGGCTTCAAAAAAGTTGAATAATGAAAAAATTTTAAAATATGCTTTGTAAATTGGTATAGCCTCTATGGAAAATGGCATGAAGACTCCTCAAAAAACTAAAATATAGAAACACCACATGATCCAGCTGTTCCACTCACTCCCAAGAATTTATTTGAATTGAAGAAGAAAACACTAACTCTGAAAGATATTTGCACCTCTTGGTTCATAGCAGTATTATTCACAATAGCCAAGAGCTAGTAACAACCAAAATGACCATTGACTAATGATTATATAAACACACACACACACACACACACACACACACACACACTGGAATATTATTCAGCTATAAAAAAGACAAAAATCTTGCCTTTCTGACAACATGGATAGAACTTGAGGTGGCTGATTATGTTACATGAAATAAATCAGAAAATGAAGGACAATTAATTATAGGATGGTTTCTCTCCTATGTGGAATATACATAAGCAGAGAAAAAACAACTAATCAAACACAAAAAGGATAATGTTCATGCTACAAGGTGGTATAAAAATAAGGCAGTTTTGGGCCCTTCCTGGTGGTGCAGCGTGTTAAAACACTGCACTGAGAAGCTTAAGCCACTTCTGCATGAGTTTGAACCCGCCTGCCCAGGGGGGATCCCCATGGAGTGGCAGACCTCTCCTGGCCTGCCCGCTGCTCCCCTCAGCAGTGTATTTCTTCAATCTGCCTGTTCTGTTCCCCACTCTGTCCCTGGTGAGTCCTCTCACCCTCCGCATCTCTGGCCTGTACCCCAGTTCTGTATGAATAAATAAATCTTAAAAAAAAAAATTTAATTTTTTAAAAAAGGCAGTTTTTAGCGAAGGGAGGGGGGGATGAAGGGAAAGGGCTCAACATGATGGTGTGAATGGCACTGGAACTTGGTGGTGGGTGCAGTGAGACATAACAAGGTATGAAGCTAAACTCCTGAAATACATATAGTATTGTAAATCAATGGTAATTCGAAAGCAACTTATTTCTTTTTCAAAAAAATTCTCTCCTGGGGCCCTCCCTGGTGGCGCAGCGGGTTAAAGCACTGCACTAAGAAACTAAAGCCACTTCCGCATGAGTTCGATTCCCGCCTGCCCCAGAGGCGAGGCGACCACATGGCGAGGCAGACCTCTCCTGACCCGCCCACTGCTCCCCTCAGCAGTGTACTTCGTAGATCTGCCTGTTCTGCTTCCCGCTCTGTCTCTGGTGAATCCTCTCGCCCTCCGCATCTCTGGCCTGTACCCCAGTTCTGTACGAATAAATATAATAAATCCTAAAAAAAAAAAATTCTCTCCTTTCCTCATTCACTTTGAATAAGAAAACAGAAATTCTTGAACTTATGAGAATCAATAAATACCAATTGACAATAGAAGTCTTTAAAAAAAAAGCTTGGAAGGTAACTACTGACTTAATCAGGTTTAGAAAAGAGCAATAATACACAAATCTAAGACTGCAGCCAAATATCCTTGGCAACTGAATTAGGTGATAATAAATGTAGGATCATTTTTACCCTTTGTATTTCTCCAGGTTGAATGAATAGAGAGTTTTGAAACATCTTGGAAACTACAGGCAAATTAAAAATCTATCCCATAAAATGGTCACTGCCTCCTCCTCTCTTGCCATTTTCTTCTTTTATTTATGAGATCCAATATTGTCTTCTCCATGAGTTTTTAAGTCAACTCCATTGGCCATGGTCTAACTGAGACTAGTGAGTCAACTTATAAAATGTTTTAATAATAGACTTAAAAAATATATCAGTGCTAGGTTTACAGAAAAACTGAGTTAAACACATTTCTTCAGACCCCAACCCTTCCTTCAGTTTCCTGTGTTAGGAACATCTTGCTTTAGTGTGGTACTCTTGTTATAGTTGATGAGCCAGTGTTGATACATTATGATGAATTAAAAGCCATAATAACATCAGCGTTCATTCTTTGTGCTGTAGAGAAGATACTAATTTTTTTTTAAAGATTTTTTTTAAGACTTATTTATTTATTCATACAGAACTGGGGTACAGGCCAGAAATGTGGAGGGTGAGAAGATTCACCAGAGACAGAGTGGGGAGCAGAACAGGCAGATCAAAGAAGTACACTGCTGAGGGGAGCAGTGGGCGGGTCAGGAGAGGTCTGCCGCGCCATGTGGTCACCTCCAGGGGGCAGGCGGGAATCGAACTCATGTGGAAGTGGCTTTAGCTTCTTAGTGCTGTGCTTTAACCCGCTGCACCACCAGGGAGGGCCCGAGAAGATACTAATTTTTAAAAATTTTTCACTGGCCTGTCATGATCATGTATTCTGTTTATTGTATGACATCATCTTCATAATAAATAATAACCACATACCAAAAACTAAAAATTCCTCGCAATTTCTCCAGGTCCCCAGTTATCTTTTCCCTAGGCAACCAGAAAGTAGGACTTAAAGCAGAATAACAATTTTGACTTATTTTTTCCTCTTCATTAAGAATGCTCACTTTCTGTAATATGCACCCCAAGAGTGTCTGAACAGTAATTAATACTAATCCATGCCGTCTGTGAGGAATTCTGAACAGTTGAGAAAGAAAGCCAAAAGTAAACAAAAGCAGTTTCACCCCAGTTAGCTTACGTCACTGAGAGAGGAAGGTTCCCAACTGGAAGGACAGAAAGCAACTCTTACATGAATGAATCCCATTAGGATTTTGATCTCCACAGGGAATGTTTGCTGAAATTCCCACCAGGGATGATGGAATATAGAATATTTTATTTTGTATAGAAGTTTGTAGAAAGGAAACAAGAAACAGAGGGCCCATGAGGGGTTCAAGCCCACTGTCCACGTCCCTCTCGCCCAGCAGTGTATCATTCTATTTCCCTGAACCTACAGTTGCTACCAAGTCACCTTCCTGGATGTCACTGCTTGTGGATGTGATACTCATCAGCACTTGATACACACAAAGGAAGAGCCATGCTGATAATTCAGCTCTTCCTGTTCCCCCAGAGGGGCATTCCCTATGCACAGCCAAGTCCACCCTGAAAGTGTCTAACACTTTTCAAATGCGCTTTTATTTCCAGCCAACTACATATGGCCTATGCGACTGGCCTGATAGAGCCAAGTCAGGGCTGTCCCTCAGCCAGCTGGCAGCAGGTGCGGCTGCAATCTGTGACAATGAAGACAGCACTTCAGTGGAGCAGGCACCTTCCCCAGAGACGCCTCAGAGCCGAGTGACAGCCTCGGCCTCACCACCAGATGCTCCTCCGTGCCAAGCGTCAGCCAGAGGACCAGACCCGAGGGCACTGCATTCAAAGTACTTTTTTTTTTTAAGATTTATTTATGCATACAAGAACTGGGGTCTAAGCCAGAGTTTTGGGGGGGTGAGAGAATTCAGCAGAGACAGAGTGGGGAGCAGAACAGACAAACCTACTGAAATATACTGCTGAGGGGAGTAGCGAGTGAGATAGGAGAGGTCTGCTGTGCCATGTAGGTCAGTTCCCTGCTGGGGATCAAACTCGTGGTGCAGTGGCTGTAGATAGCTTGCCACTGATGTCTTTCACCCTGGTGCCAACAGGGAGGCCCCTCAGAGTACTGGTTTTATTTCTGCTTTATTGACTTATACGTCAGTGTTTCTCCCTTATAAAAGGCCACAGGTTATTTTTGAAATAGCTAACATATTTCAATGATAAACAAAATAAGTCAGAAGGAGAAAGACAAATAAGGGATGGTGTCCTTTATATGTGGAATGCAATGCTAGAAACAACACAAAGGTTCAGACAAAACCAAATCAGTAACAAACCCTAGAAAACTGACTATGGAATCAAGATTACAAGAGGAGGAGGAGAAACATGAACTATGGTGGAGGATGTGGGTGCCGTGGTGGTGGTATGTGGTGAGGTTCCACATAAGAGATGTGATCCTATGACTCTAAGTCACATACAGTGTTGTAAACCAGTGACACCAATGAAAAAAGAAAACCAGCTAGCACATTTAAAACACCGACAACTCAAGAGGAAACAAAATGAGCAAAGCAGTTTGCAAATTGAGATACATACTTATATGGAAGTGAAAAGCATTAGCTACTTACCCTCCCATCTTGCAGTCCCCAGTGCCACCTTTCCAGGCCCGGACGTACTTCGGATTGGCCCACAGAGACACCGGATTAAAGGTGCCACTTGCAAAATAAGGTCCCACGGGGCTCAAGATGACAAAAAGTAGGGCTTTGGTAGGCTTCTTGACTCCAAGAGAGGGCTGCAGTCAAGGAAGAGTACATACAAGCGTTCATTGAATGAAGACTCCAGTCTTAATGTCTAGGCTAGATCTGTTTAACTATCTCCATGGGCCACCAAAACCAAGAGCTGGCCCTTCTAAACTTGAATGACACAAAGCCTCTCTTTTGGTCTCTTCAGAGAAGGGAGGGCTTCAGTTTGATTTTGGTTTGCTTTCTGAGTTACTATGATCATAAAGGAAAAGTTAACATTATTTTGTTTGCAGGGTCTTTAGAGGAGTGCCATATTTTAATGACTACCTGTATGACACATGTCAAGGTTACAGTGATACAAACTGAGAAATGGGAGACCCCCAGACCTCTGGTTTTAGTCTTTTGGGGTGAAATATGTCAACTTATCTAATCTTCCTGACTCAGGCTGAGGGACTCCAGCAGGAAATCGGGCTCCAGTCAGGAGTCACCCTGACTGTGGCAGATACCAGAAGGCTAGAAAGCAGCTTCTCTACAGGTACAGCCATCAGGCCAGATAAACATTCCCAAATAAGGCAGAGAACAGTGGTCTCAAGAACCAGGATCATGAATGGCAGCAGGGAGATGGGCTTTCCCACAAACACTGAAAAATCATAAGTCATCATACAAAACCATACAAATGCCTCCAGGCAAAAGCAACTGTAAGTCACTGACTGTGGATTATTTACCAGGAGGAGAGATTTGAGACTGAAAGCATGGAAGCTGACATATCAATTGCAAAGGTATAAAGGATAGTTTGGGTGTCTTAAGACCCCAGGAAGTCAGGAGACAAGGCACAGCTTCAGCACTTTGAGTCCTGGGATTGAAAAATGAGGGTACAGTCTGGTCCTAAGAACCTGGTCTGGCTGGATGGAGTGGATTTTGTCACAGAAAGGTGAGTTAAAAAAAGAGATTCGTTTGAGGCTTTCGTCATGTTGGATTAAACTGTCTGAGAGTATATTTGGAGATTATTTGGTCCTCTACCTCCTGCTACCTACTGGCCCATGGTTCCTCAACCCAACCTGGGATCAGGTCATTAAGAATCAGGCAGGCAAATATGTCCATAAACACTAAGAATGTGTTTGTACATGTGGATGCTGAGGCCATGGAAAAGGCATGCACAGCCCTCAGGGAGCGGGAGGAGGATGATTCTACCACATTCCATGTGGTCAGGACACCACCAGGCTTGGGTGGCATAGAGAGAAGATATGACAGCTGAATAGTGGATGACAGACAACCAAGCAAGAGACACAGCAAGCAAGCAACAGCAGGTTTGGGGGTTTTGCTTGTTTCTGTTTGTTCTTTGTAGAGCTGAAGAGGACCTGCCAACCAATGAAAAGTGACCTCATTTGCTTTTTTGCGTTTGTTGTTTGGGAGAATCAAACTCCAAAAAAATACATATTTTACCTTTCTTCCCACTTTGATAAAATTGACTGTCCTAGATCTGCACTTTTGCAGTTTTACTTACCTATTAGTTAAGAGTACAATCAGTGCCTTCACACTGCTTTGAAACTGAGTGTTCCAAATTTTTGTAGAGAGCCTCATGAGGAATTAAGACATGTTTCTCAAGGTGATTTAGGAATACAATGCATAGGACATAGACTCGATAATTTACAAACTTCTAAGTGTCTAAATAAAAGAGTTTATTGATGGATATTTTATTAACATTCCCATGAATGCCTGCAATTCTTGAACTCAACGCAGGTGGTTTTTGCAACCTGCATTATACTAAAAATAAAAAGCCATAACTCATCACCATAGAAATGGTCTTGAGATACATTTCATCTTATTCATTCCTTTCCCTGATTTTAGCTGACAGTAAGATTGCATTTTTCCACTAGGTGGTGGTAATGAAAGCGCAGATGTAAAATGGAATAATTCTATGCATTAAGTCTATTTCTAGAGAAAAATCTCAATAGACCTTAAGTGATACTTTTTTTTCCCTCAACAAGCAGGAAAATTATAGACTAGATTTTTTCAAAACTAAGAAGAAAATGTGTTTACTTGTACTAACATCTTATTTTCTGAAATTTAAGCAAGTTCCAATCATGTTTTACAAGCACCTCAAGTACTGCTGTCTGTCACAGCTTAGTCACCTTCATCCCAAAATGGTTACTTATGTCAACTGTCATTTCATCAGAAGAACTCTGACTACCGAAAATAGCCACTCTGCTTCAAGATTGAGAATAAATAGTATAACTGCTTTAGGGGAGGAAGCGTACAGATAGAGTCTGCTTCTGCTCTCAAGAGCCACTATTTGTCATTTGTCTTAACTCTTGCTTCTAATCCAAAAGTTGTAGTACTGCTACAGTTAAGAACAGTTCATTATGAAATGTGAACTTATGCCCTTAAATCATACTCAGTGTTGTAAATGTTATAACTAAGTGTTGTTAAATGAATCACAATGAATAAAATAACCACAATGACAGAGCTTCTGGTCAAATAAAGCAAAAGCCATACAAATAAGAAGAAAATATGGAAGAACAGGAGCTAAGTTTCAATAAGACTTATTTGATTTTCAAATTATTCTGTAATAAAACTTTGGATATCTCAGTGCATAAGGAAATGAATAGTTTAAAAAAAAAAACACAGAAAATGTGGAATATAAAATCTCAGAAGCAAAATGTGTAGCTTCTCAAAGGACCAGCTGACTCTGAAGTGAAAATGCTGTTGTATTAAAAAAAAAAAAGTAAACTCTACAAACTTTACAAATGATGCCTTGCAAGCAGCAAATTACCTACCTGATATTAAGTATGTGTATATTTTGCACAGAAGAATAAAATACTTGTATGTGATGGAAAATAAACAAGTAGCTTTGTAAAAGTGAAAGTGATCACTTCTTTCTGAGTCAGCTGGAAATGTCTTTAAAGCAAGGCAGGATTTCAGAGGATGACCTGAACCAAGCAGAAAGTGCACCATGAGCTAAAGAAAGTAACATCAGCCTGTTTTGGCCAGGCCATCAGGAAGCGCACTGGCTTGGGGAGGCTGTGCAGAAGCATTTTGCATCAACAAGGCAAATAAGACACTTAAGGAATAAGATAACTGGGAAAATGGGAACATTTTCCAAAAAGAACTGGTGTGACTTTTTCAATCCAAAGAACGGCCTAATTTTTTAAAATATGACAAAGAGGTTAGAGAGAAAATTTATGAAGAACGTCAGACTGAAGGACACTGCCAAGGCTGTGGAGGGACCAGTGGTCCATGTAGGTAGCTGGGGAGAGTCACAATGGGAGAGACCTCAATTTCATGCATGGTCATGAGAGGAAAAACTAATCGGTTGGATAAAAGATTTTTAAAAAACAACCCTCAATATTTATGCAGTACTTTTTGGTTACGAAGCCATTTCACCTAAATAAGTTACTATCTAATCCAAGAACCCAGGAGGGTGAGCATTATAATTTTTATTTTAAAGTTGGAAAATGTGAAGTACAAAACAAGTGGTTTTCCCAAGATTTCATTATTAATCAAATAAATATATTTTATATCATTTATTATTTTTGTGCAATATTTGATATCTCCTCTCAAGTGTAATCCCTGTAAAATTCCCACCACCAGTTCACCAGCACCCCTTCCTCTATGCCTTTCCCTCCCTGTTTTAATCCTCTCCCTCCCCTGCAGAATGTCTCTGATTTATAGTTGCCTGTCAATTTTGGTTTTTCATTTATTATTATATGTTCTTGATCTCTAATTTGGTTCCCCTATATTCCTCTTATAAGTGAATTCCTAATTCACAGCTCTTTTATGGATACCAGGTTAAAAATACATACATCTGGGCCCTCCCTGGTGGTGCAGTGGGTTAAAGCATAGCACTAAGAAGCTAAAGCCACTTCAGCACAAGTTCAATCCCCACCTGCTCTGGAGGTGACCCACATGGAACAGCAGACCTATCCTGACCCGCCCACTGCTCCCCTCAGCAGTGTGATTCATCAGTTGGCCTGTTCTGCTCCCTACTCTGTCTCTGGTGAATCTTCTCACTGCCCACCGCCCCTGAACCTCTGGCCTGTACCCTAGTTCTGTATGAATAAGTTAAAAAAAAATCTTTAAAATATATGTGTGTGTGTATGCATGTGTGTGTGTGTGTGTGTGTGTGTGTGTATATATATATATATATATATATATATATGATTTCCTAACCTAGAGAACACTCAAACCAGCATTCAACATTCCACCCTCAACCTCCTCAGCCTCAGCTCCATGTACCCCAAGCACAGACTTTCTGTCACCATGTGGTCACTACCTCACCTGGAGATGATTCCTGCACAGCTGCCTCTAGCTGGAACACTCCTTCCATCCCCACTTTCTATAGGCTGAAATGTGTGTCTTTTCCCCTCCCTTCAGCTAAGTGACTGCATTTGGAATGAGGCCCTCAAGAAGGCACTGAAAGTCAAATGAGGTCCAAAGGGCAGGACTCTAACCCAGTAGGACTAATGTCCTTATATGGAAGGGAAGGCTGAGCAAGAGTACTAGCTCCAGGCCCTGCTCACTCACCTCCCTGTCTGCTCCATCCCTCCCTTTCTCTCTTGTTCCCTCCCTCTCCACCACCTTCCTCTTTCCTCCCATTTCTTCCCCCTTACACTCCCTTCTCCTTCTTTCCCCTCTCTCCCTAAACAGAAAAAAAAGCCACAGGAGGACCTGGGTAGAAGGCAACTACTAGCCAGGAAGGGAGATTTCTTCAGAAACCGGCCCTGTTGGCACTTTGACATGCAGCCTCCAGAAAGAAGGGAAGCAGCTTGGGATACTTAAGACACCCAGTCTGCAGTTCTCTGTCATGGGCACCAGCCCATTGAGTCCTGCTGCCTCTCCCCAGGAAATGCATACCTTTCCAGCTCCAAGTAAATGTCACTTCAGGACATGAGCCCTTGACAAGTTTAGGGGCTTGTATTATGTGTTGTTGTACCATCCAGCACACCCATAAGTTTAGATCAAATGCCATGTTTTCTTACAACTCTTATGTAGTTTTTTTGCTCTTGCTAAGGTCTAATCTGCATGAAGGACAGGGGATGTTTGTCCCCTG